TTATGCTTTCAAATGAAGAGGAAATAGACATGAGATCCTTCAATTTGCCAACACTATGTCCTCTTTGGTAATTCTGCAACACTTCCATACCCTATATAAAGGGTTTGCTTTTATGATGATCTAAAAACCTATTGCCTCCAATGAAAGATATGTTGTTATGGCTTTTAAAATATGCCCTCAAAAAAACAATTTTCAGCAGTGAAAATTCAAGTAGTTAATGAACATTTAAAACGTGAAACTATGCTCTTCTTGCTAGTAGTCATCTAAACAACAATGATAAGTGTGCAGTAAAAATGGACAGTTTTATGTTAATGTCCCTGGGGTGTCATGTAGATATAGGAAAATCTGCAATGTATATCAAGAGTTGCAAAAATGTTCACATCCTTTGAACTGACTTTTCTATGTAGCCATTTATTTTAAGAAAATAATTTAGTGAACACACTTAAAGATTATGAATTCAAGTAATTACTGAAACATTATTTATGCATTTTTATTTTTTAAAAAGCACAGGCTAAGAAGTACATAATTCCAGCAGGACGCAAAACAGAAAATGCAGATTGAGGAAGGTACATAAAGTTGCATGAAGCAAAATCTCATTCCCCGGAAATGCTCACTGTTAACATTTTCTTTCTTAGTCATCCAGATAGTTCCCAAGTTGTAGGAAACACAAAAATATGAAAAAATAGGACATCATAACATTATGTTCTTTTATAATATTTTCTCATTTAGTGATGATTATACTCAATTCTATAATAGCATATATATTTGCATCTTATTATTTAGAACCACATGCTGTTCTGTTGTATGATCATGGCAAAATGTTTTAACAACCCAGTGTTCCTAGATATCCGGGTTGCTTTCAAGTGTTTGTGATTATCTACAACACCGAGATGAAGATCCATGTACACGTATCTATGGACACATCTTCAATTGCATCTACAGAATAAATTCCGAGAACTATGATTTCTTGGAAGTAACCAATGTTTATACTCTTTGATATATATTGGCAAAGTAACTTGCAGGGAAGTTGCACCACTTGACAGTTCCTCTCTGTGTTTGATGTATCTATTTTAGTTATTTACAGCATGACATATTATTATCCTTTAGGTGCAAAAATATGTCATTCTTTTAATTTATATTGCCTTTTGTTACTAGTATATACGAACATTATAAATAAGTTTTCCACTTCTTCCATTATAAATAAGTTTTCATTTCTATGATCATCTATATATTAACTATAGATGATTTTGTATTTTTGTTGTTTTATTATAGATTTCTAAGAGCCTCTTTGAGGGTTATTATTTTTCCTTTATTATGTATATATCATATATATACATTGCACTATATTGTATATACATATTGTATGCAGACAAATGTGTATATGTGTGCATATATTTTACTATAAAGCAGCTTTTAAATTCTACACAGCTAAATCTACCAATTACATTTCACATACTGTTTGCATTTCTCTTTCATTAGCAAAATTTTCCTAAACCAAAACTACACACATATTCATTTTAATATCCTCTAGCCATTTCCTAATATCATTCTAACTACTGAAGTGTTCATGCATTTGTATTTTAGGAATAAGTTAAGAAGTGGGATTTAACTTATGGCTATTCATTTGGGGAAATGGTGTTGAAAATAGTCTTTTATTCCCCCACTTATTTGAAAAGTTACCTTTAATCATATACTAAACTGCAAAAATTTGAAAATATCTTAAATATCACACAGTAAAAGATAATTCAACCAACCTTGTCAACTTAATATAGAGCTGTAAATAAATATAATATTTACAATGAATTACAATAAAATGCTTTTATCTTATCATAAATGGGAAGCAAGCAATTAAATTTTATAAAAGATAAGTAAGAAAATTTTTCAGGTATTCTAAAATCTTCATCTGGAGGTTAAAAAATTCATATACATACACAATGATAATTTTTTCTGTGTTAAGAATACAGTACGATGTTTCTTGCCTATTTTGACCTTTATATAACTTTGAAAATTTTAAATAAGTAATTACTTTTCTTGGAATGTAAATAATCTTACTTTAAAAAAAAAAACATGATCAGTATACCTTGTTATATTCTCTATCTTGAGAGGAAAATATTAAGAAAATATGAATCTGAAACTCGGATTTTTTTACAAAGGATCCATATTTTTTACCACTACTAGAGTTTCCATGCTAACTTGCTCTTTGGAGAGGATAAATTAGTCATCATTCTCCAAAACAGGTCAGCACCTCTGAACCTTCTCCTCCACTCACAACCATTTATCCTAAGGGCTCCCACTTCCCTTCATTATGGCATACTCGGATGCTTGCCTAGCATCTGAAGGGGTCAGTTTGCTGTGGAAAATCAATTAGGTACTGTTCCTACAGAGTACTTAAGTTTCCAGGAAGCCTTAAATGAGGCTTATATGGAATTGTTCACAAGATGGCTTTACATTTTAAGAAATTGTCAGTACCAGAACTTGTATTGATCTATGTTGAGCAACAATTCACTGAAATTGCATAAGGTACTATACTTAACAACTGTGAGTGTGGTAAAGAAAAAGAAAAACATAAATAGACCAGAGAAAAGGTACCTCTTAAAGGAGATACAAAGTCTTGCTCTACCCAGAAAATAATTATGCAGAAAAGCCCAAGGTGTTGTGTAGAAGATCACATTGTCTAAGATGTATGTCTTTTTCTTATCTCTCTTTAAGACCTTTTTAGAGCTTATACTCTTTGTGAGGGGACGCGAAGTGCCCACCAAACACCCAGATTTCTCCTGGCCCTCACATTCACCTTTTCTTCCTCCTCTTTCCAAGTGGAGTACTTGGAAAAGAGGATCTCTGTCTGTCCCAACGGATGGAAATTCCTACTCTCTAGGCTCTGGTTGGAGCGAATATTCCTCAGTCATCCCTCAATGTTCCCTTTGTTTCTTTCCACATGAGCCATCCCATCCTAACCAGGCAGCAGAGTATGTATCTGATATTTAAAAAATTGCATCCTTAATAATCTAGAGACCAAGTTGAATTAGAATTATAACTTTTAAGTAAAAATCTATAGGAATTACCATGAAGAGTTAGTGAAAATTCACTACTTATACTTATATCTGTAATATTTAGTATAAGGATTGATTGGGTCCTAATGTTGGGCCAAGCAAAATACTGGAAGAAATAGGAAACATAAAAACGATTCTTTGTTTCTGAAACCCTTACGGTCTCAAAATAAAGAAACAACTTGGGCATGGTGGTAGTACACACCTATAATCCCAGTATGAAAGACTGAAGCAGGAAGACCCCAAGTTCCCCTCCAGCCTGGGCAAATTTGTGACTTCATGTGAGCATGTCTCAAAATGAAAAAAAGGAAGGAAGTGGATATGGAGCTCAGTGTGAAAAAAAACCCTGCTGGATTCAATCTCTAGTACTGCCAATAAATAAACAAGGCAGATGGGACAGTTAGTCCTCAAGCTGAAATGCATATTGACATTTGAAATATCACCTCTTCTTTTAATGTTTCAGGAACTCTGGAAGATACTTTTCCTATCCAAGGAAGGTATCTTATCATTCTATAACAATATGTTATGTTACTGTTGTCATGTTCTTGCTCAAAGACACATAGCTACTAAAGTGTAGATATAAAAAATGAAAAAGTGTAGAGAAAAAATAAAACTAGAATTTTCAAGTAAAGATAGTGAGTTGAATGTTTTATCTTTTTCAAAAAATGCCACTGAGCAAAGGGTTATTTTTAGACATAAACACAAAGGATGAATAAAAAAGCAGAGAGAACATTAGTAACAAAATTAAAGTCTAAAGTGCTAATGGCTGAGAGTAAATAATCTAACAGACTTGAGAATACCAAGCCACAGGCTGGCAGGGCTGCAAGTCAAGAACTAAACCACCTTGGCACTGCAGATCCCCAGGGGGGTCAGGAATTGGCAACACCAGTACTCTGGAACCGGGCGATAGGGCTGAAATTAGGATGATGGGTCCAATGTCTATTTAGGAATCACCTAAAAGATGAGAAAACTCACAGCACGCCATGTAAATAGTTGACTACTCCCTTTCCATGACAAGAAGTTGAAGGTTATTTTCTGGAATTGTACAGGGTAATGTAACTCACCCAATGGAAAAAGAGTTCTGTTATATTGCACGGGAAGGAGGGGTGAACATACACTTAGACAGGGAGACGCTGAGCACTCTCCCTCGGCCGGTCTTTAACCCTCCAGACAGGAGATTGGTAGCAACCTCCCTGCGACTCTACTGAGCCTAAAAGACTTAAGGATATTAACACTGACATATGATCAACCAAATGACCCAAGTAGGGCAGATTAGTGAAATTCATAGTCAATAATGTCTACAAGTTATTCTTAGAGCCTTCAGTCTGGTTTTTCTAGTCATAGGTTATGAGGCGTTTGATAATTCAACCAGCAAATGAAAATTCCTGGTGATGTATGAATGTCTGTCTGTCTCTCTCTCTCTCTCTTCTTCTCTTTCTCTATTTCTCTGTGTGTGTTTGCATGTGTGTAATTAGTAGTAGGTACTGATATCAAAAGTACTTTTCATTATGAATCACAGTCAAACACATTTGAAAGCCAATGGTCTAGTTTTGATAATAACCAGAACAAAAATGGATTTTAAAAAGTAGCAGAAAAAATTTTTTTAAAACTTAAAAAATAAAAAGTGGCAGAGCCATAATCAATTGAAATTAAGTTTTAGAAATTATGAATAAAAGCCTCTTACTATAGACAGAAAAATATTATTAAATTAAGAACTATATGATATCTTAAAAAGGAACAGCTATGAGCCCCAAAAAGGAGCTCTTGGAAATTAAACAGATAAAATGGTAATCTCCCAATGGGGAAATAACTCGGAAGGATTGTCCTAGAAAGCAAAATAATATCTACAATTTATTGAATACTTATGAACTCTATACCAATTAAATCATGTAATTCTCACAATAATCTATGAGGTAGAAATTTTTGTTAACATCAATTTATAGAAGAGGACACTAAAGAATAGAAAGGTTAAATCATTTACAGGTAATCAATGGTAGATCCATGACTTGAACACATTTTATTAAAATTTTCTTTTGCAGACCAAAATTGTATTATTCTTTCTGTTCCATTCCTGATTTTACAATCTATTAACACGCTCATTAAACATTTTACAACTGCTTCAAATCTTGTTTGGATGTAAACTATAAATGCAGCCAATAAATAACACCCAGAGCCAAGCACCACGCTACACTCTGAGGATAAAAGATGAATAAAGCACTATTTCCTTTCAGTTACACATATGTGTGTTTATTTTACTATACCTTACTGTAGACAGAAATAGCTTATTTTGATCATATGACACTCACAGCAACTTCTCAGGCATAGTAGGTACTCGGAAGCATGGAAATTATTTAAAATCAGTAGACTATCCCACATGATCAAAGTCTGGGACTTTTGCCCAGAGAAGACCACAGATTACATTTCCCCTTCTTAAAACTGGCAAGCCCCTCCTCACAGCACATCATTATTCCTCACAGCCTCTGACCTTGCAGAGCTCAGTCTTCTCTTCTTCCCTCTCATATACAGCCCCACACAGCTCTGAGAAGCTCGCAGTGATGTCCTTTCCTGAGCACCATGGCTGGATGTGTGCTCAAGAAATCCTCGCTGCAAGATGTGCATTGAGTCCCAGCAGGATTCCAGGCTGCATCGCCTCATGGGAGGCCTCTATTTTTTGGCTGCCTTGCACAAATCTGCCCCTTCAGGCCATCTCCCTAGCCAACTGCCACTCCTCCTTAATCAGGCTTGGCAGGAAGCTAGTCAGTCCCCCAATTGAAAAGCTTCATACATTTTCTCCTGGGACTCTGCTGGAGATGGAGGGACTGTAGCTACATTCTGAGCCTTTTCTTATTCTTATGAAACATGGGACACAATAATAAAGTGGGAAGGAGATGATTTGCTCAAAATGCAGCCTTTGAAATGCTATCCAACCAGGGCCCTGAAGGAACTCAAAGGAGCTCTCCTATTCCACCATCAGGACCTATGGCAAACTATACCCCATGATGACTCAGTTTCCCTTTCATTAAATGAGCTAAGTAGTCTAAATTCATGACCCTAAACTGTTCTTCAGAGCTCTAGAGTTTTGTTGCAGTACCTCAGTAAGAAGCTGAAGTAGGAGGCTGAAGGAGGCTGAGAATATAAGGCTGGGAGACTCTCATTCCTGCATCAATCTGAGAAACTTTATTGACTACTAGTATAAGCTTTCATCTGTTGGAAGAAGATTCTGCTGCAAAACCAAAAAAAAAGGAAAATAGCAGATTTCATGACCTCTGAAATTCCTATGAGCATCTTCAGTGATTCTACAGTGTGTTTATGGACATAGTACTTCTTAGTTGTCCTGATTTTGAAAGAAAACTAAATTGTATAGCCTGCACTAATATTGTATTCTCTTTCTCTTATCACTTACTTATGTACAAGGTGTGATAAAAAATAAACGGAAAGAAAGTGATTACAATAAAGCACACATTACCATTAAAAACCCTTGACATACTGACCCTTGCTTCAACCACACCCATCCCTTTGTTCTTGCCACTTTCTGAAGCAGTTCTAGAAATCCTCTTTCCTGAGTGTCTTTAATTGTGCTGCTAGGTGCAGTGCCACTGAGCTACTGAGCTACATCCCCAAGTGCTTTTTGGTGGTGGTGGTGGGAGGGTTTTTTGTTTTGTATTTTTTTGTTTTGTTTTGTTTTGCCGTGGCTGCCTGCACATTTTGAATTGATTTAAAATGTTTCATTTTCATGATCAGAAGAGCCAGAAATTGCACAGTGCCAGATACTGTGAATAAGGTAGATGAGAACACATCATGTTTTTATGAGCCCGCCTTTTGGACGGTGATGAGCAGCAGTCATCTTATTTTTTTACCATACCTCATAAGGACACTCAGAAAAGAGAACTTGCAGAACTGCTTCAGAAAATGGCAATAATGATAGGATAAATGTGTTCCAAATGAGGGGGAAGTATTTTGAGGCAGATTAAGAGCAGTGTGTCTTTTACTGGAATGTATTTTGCTTAATTTAAATGTTCACTATCCATTTTGGTCACACCATGTATAGGTGACACAGGTTAGTAAAAGAATTTGTTCAAGTAAGTGCTGTTTACCAGGGTATCAGGACAGTTACTTCTAGTCACAGTCACATCTCTTGCCTAATGTATCACTCCTTATCAGTGCTGAAAGTGTGTCTCCACTGGAGATTCTATAAAGCCAAGTCAGGGTTCATTGCCAATGACTGAACTCACAATAAGGAGAAAAAGTTAAGCCAGAAAAGACAACAGAAGGAGAGAGAGCGACAGAAAGAGCTAGTGTTACAGAGCATTCACCCTTTGCAGCCCTGGTTCTGAACAGAAGAAAGGGAGGCACGATGATAACTTTTACACACAAGAAATTGTTGTTCAGCAATGTGAAGTAAATTTTCCAAAGTCCCACAATATGTAACCAGAGGGCTAGGATTTGCATCCAACCCTGGAAACTTCTTCAGCCCTCAGTGCTCAGTTTCCATGCTACTAATATGCACCATAGTTCCTAAGCCCAGTGCTGCACTCTGACTTTGTGGATTGCCTTCTATGAAAGTGTTCAGTAAAAGTTTTATTTCCCATTACCTATTGGCTCCACTGTTGCCATGCATCTGTGTCACTTGTGTACACGAAGCACTTTTCTGCATGCTCACAAGCTTATCCTCTGCCAGTTCGGTCCCTCTCATGCTTTACCTAGAAGCTCTGTTCTCCTGGCTTTCAGTTGCCACTCAGTTCAGAATTCCTTCCCAAGCTGGAGATTCAGCAAGGACATCTCAGGCTGAGTGTCTTAATGCATGTCACATCCAACACATGGAAAATGAAACTCATTTTCTGCCTCTCATTTCCCCAGATTAATTTTTCTACCATTCCCCACCTGCCTCAGTTAATGCTGCTCATCAAAGCAAAGCCCTCAGAATTGTCCTCCTTTGGCTTCATCTCCAGCCGCAACTAATTTCTGCCAAAGCAGCCTCCTCCCTGGCTCTTTTCACTGCCCCACTTCTACTCCTTGGTGGAGGTCACTCCCTTTAAAATTTCAGAGTAGTGTGATAGCTTTAATTCCTCAGTTTTTTCTTCCATTTAGTTCAATTTCTAAAACTTATTCTCTGTTTAAAATTTTCAGATTGTTCAACCCTTTTTCTTGTACCGGGGGATCGAACTCGGGACCCTGGGCTTTCGAGGCAGGCAGTGGAAACACTGAGCTACATCCTCGGCCCCCTCATCCCTTATTTTTTGAAACTCATCTCCCTTGATCTCCAGATTCCACAACTTTCCAGGTTCTAACTTTTGTGGCAACTCTTTCTTCCTTTCACTCGTTGGCTTTATTTACTTTCCACATTAATTCTCTTCTCTTTTTTCTTTTTCCCCTGTCACAACTTTCTGGCTTTGTGTTTTACTTCTGTTTTTATGCATCTTCTCCTTTGGGTGGACCTGCCTCACCCATACATTGATAACCCTAAATGCTTATTTCAGCTTTTACATCTCACCCAAGTGCCAGAGCCACTTTTCTACTGAGCTCATGATTTTCTCCACAAAATCCACTCTTCGAGATTATCATTGTTTCTGAACAGCATCACATCTATTCTCCAAAGTGAGGAGGCTAGAATAAAACGTCATCGTGTCCTAATATTTCAGTCTCCAAAGCAATTTTGTCATCTACTTCAAATATCTCACCTTTGGAGAGTCTTTGGATATTTTTTTCTCATTCCCGCTATGATTATTTCTGTCTCGCTTTTTAATTATCTCTTGTCTGAAATAAGGCAACTACTTCTCCTAAAAGTCTCACTTCTATTTATTTTATCTATTAACTCCAAGGTTGTTATCTTTAAAAATCATTCCCACAGTTGCATTTTAGACCTCAAAAACCTCTAGTTTCTCCCAACTTTTAAATAGTGTAACATTAGGTTTACCATATAAAGCTCTTTGCAGTTGCCTATTATCAAATAAGGACTATCTGTCCCTACTGTTTTCTTTCAGCCAATACTAATGACCAAGGAAAGAGAGGCTGGTGGTCACTTAGTCTAGGATGGCAATTGGGCCATAGTTACTAGTGAGTGAATTTGTCAGCTGTAAATGGTTATTGTCTTTATATGCAGGATTCCAGCCAGCAACATCTCGTGTTTCACCTCCACTGAACTGCAAACTCAGTAAGTTAAAAGTTAGACCTTGGTTTATAAGTAAAACCAAATTTGATTCAAATGTACACAGGCAGGAGGTCTTACACCTTAGATTGTAGTGTTTCCCCAAGTAGAGTTTCAAATCAAGTACTAAAAGAATACACTGGAAGATCTATCTCTAGCTCTACTGTTTCTTTCTCTTATCTACTGATTCTATCTATCTATTCTATCTATCTAGCTGTTGGGTTAATCCATTTTCTGTTCCTATAATTAAATACCCAAAAGTGGAAACTTATAAAGAAAATGCGTTTATTTAGCTCATGGTTTTGGAGGCTGAAAGTCTAAACAGCATGGCACCAACTCTGGCAAAGTTCTGATAAATGATGGCATCATGGGGAGAGGGTTGTAAGCAAAAGGGGAAATCACATGATGAAATAGGAATTCAGGTATCAGGCTTACTGTTTTATAGCAACACTCTTACAAGAACTAGCCAGAGTCCCAGATTAACTGTCCCAGTTAATCTCTTTCTGGGACAGCACTTTGAATAATCTAAAGACCTGCCACTGGACCTCCCCTTAAAGGTTTCATGCTTTCTCTCTTACCACTGGCACTCTGTGCCCAAGCTCCATACACATAAACATGGACCTTTGGGAGTTACACACACACACACACACACACACACACATCATAATATTCCAATCAACTAGAGAACACATGTATGACAATGGTCTCATAATATTTAAGAGAGCTGAAAACTTTTCGTCCCTCTCCTAGTGCTACTGTAGCTGCATTAGTGTACCACATATTACCTGTGGATTTGCAGCAAAGCTGGTGATATACACAAACATACTGCCCTGCCAGCCATATAAAAGACCAAAACATACAATTATGTGCAGCACATATTTGATGATAAGTGACTATGTTGACGGTTTATGTACTGCTACACTTACATTTTATCATTCTTTTGGAATCTTTCATGTAAGTAGAACTTACAAGGTTTCTAAAAACTGGACTATAAAACTCTGTGCTGGGTTGTGCTGCCCACATAAGCTCCAATAGCTTTGTTAATCTCATCTCTTGATTGTACTGAAGGGCCATGACGAAGGGTTGGCCAATACCATCTAGGTTTCTTCATACAAGGACAAAAGCAGCTAAGAATGCACCTGGCAGGATGGGTCCCTATTGGGAAATGATACATTACTGTATACAGATACATATATACATACATGTAGGGGTGTGATCCCAAAATATGGTGCATGTAGAAATTTCAAATAGTGATCACGGTAAAAGACACATTGCCATTAATCTCTGTCAGCATACTACCCTTGCTTGTTACACCTTTATTCCACTCCTCTTACTATGTTCTGAAGGAGCTTTAGAGGTCTAGTATTTTAAGTGTCTATAGTTCTGCTGTTGTGGCTGCCTTGATGTTTTGAATTGTTTCAAAACACTTACATTTCAGGGTCATTTTGACTTGGAGGAAGAGCCAGAAGTCACATGGTATCTGATCAGATGAATAAAGCCAATGAGGAAACACTGCCATGGTTTTATGATCCATCCTTTCCATTGGATACACTGGACAGCAGCATTCACCATATTATTTTTTACCATACCCTGTAAAAGAGGAATGCCAAAACTGTTTTAAAAAGTAGCAAGAAGGAATAGGATAAATGTGTTAGAAGCAAGGGATATATTTTGAGTGGGGTTAATGCCAATATGCCTTTTAATGGAGCAAATTTTAAAAATTTAAATATCATTCACAATAATTTTCAGTTTCCTCTTGTAAGTATATAATTTGTGTGACTATACATATACTTTTGGCCATTATCCTGATAACCATATTTTGGTCAGAAATCCCAGAGAAGGGGAAAATTACAAAGGAAAAATTTTTTCACCTCTAAATTTTAGCATTGTAAAAAAAAATCTAGATTTTGTAAAACCACATGCTTGTGTTAATTTGGGGGTCTTTGTTAAAAAAATAATTACAGTGGGCTGGGGATTTAGTTCAGTGGCACCGTGCCTGCCTCGAAACCGCAAGGTCCGGAGTTCGATCCCTGGTACCAAATAATAATAATAATAATAATAATAATAAAAATAATCACAAAATTGTAACTACAAAACCACTATAAATTCCAAATTTCAAAAATCTGACAAACACCACAAAAATTAAAAATATAGAATGTTAATCATTTTTTATTAACTACTGTCCTATCATGCATTTTTAGTACCACTTTTGCTAGTGTCTGGGGCTGCAAACTCTGATCCTTCACTTGCAATATTTTTAATATTTTCTGTAGAATAACAAATTAACTAAATTAGATTTAATAGCTGAATTCCTTCTAGCATGACTAATCTAGATTTGTTTTTTGTTGCTGATATAAGAGTTTCTATCAGCTTAACAACTCAGTTCATACGATGTTTTCTGTAGGGTGTGTTTGCTTCTTCGAACATGCTCTTTCTAGCTCCGAAGAAAGCCCAGTGAGCACCCCACCCTTTTGCTCACCCTAGTCCTGTAAAGCTCAGGCAAACTCTCATGAGCCTGACCACCACCCCATTTCACACTGTCCTACTACAATAATCCTGAGAATGAGGAGACATTACTGGGACGGATACAGAATAGCATCATTTCCTTGGGGTCTAAGATTCGGTTGAAATGCTTAATGGCATATAAAGTGGGCAGGTCTTTGATGGGAGTCCAAGCAGAGGTAGACATCGAGCTGAGAGCCCCCAGCCCCATCTACAGAGACAGGACCACCATGATGCTCAGAGCCCCATGCCTTCAGTTCCCTAGCGTTCACGAGGATCCTTACTTCTCTGAACAACACATTAAGATACAGAAGGGGCATATCTAAACAGAAGTCCTGAAACCTAGGATTCCTATCTTCCTAGATTTACCTCTGAACAAATATTTCCTGTTAGTGTTTTGCAAGCATTGTTTCTTTTTTACTTAAAATCTCTCCTTCCTTTTCTCTACGTACCACACCCCATTCATTGTTCCATAGGCCACTGAACTGTGGCAAAATCTCCAGAGACCCGGGCCGGAATTACAACCGCAGCCTGTGGTATTTTATCCATGCTTTTTACTGAAACATTCACCATAGTGTACTGCGGCATGTGTCACTGTATGTCCACCTTCTTACTATGAGATGTGAGGACCGGAACTTTGTCCACTCATTTTCTAGCCCTTCCTTTACTATACGTTCTGTCACATAGCAGACATTTAATCACGACTGCTGAAAGAACGACTGAAAATGTCTAAAAGTTTCTCTGACTGTTTCACCAGAATTATTTTATCATTTCCAGCATCCTATACACACCAAGTTTTTAACAAGTTGCGGAGCAAGACTTCTTTTTTTCTTTTTTCGTTAAGAACCAAGTAACTTTATATTGGAAGCAACAGTGCAACAAAGAAGGGACATGAAAGCAGTGATGGAGGAGCGCGTGGCCTGCCTGGAGACCAGGGGGAGCCCTGGGCCCGGCCCGGGACAGTCCACGCTCAGTTCTCCTTGCCCCCATCGTGCAGGCTGAGCTTGCTGAAGAGGAGGTTGACCAGGCCCTCGCTCCGGGTCCCCAGACTGTGCAGGTTGGTCAGGTAGTCGCTCAACTCCTTCAGCAACCGGGCCTGCGGCTGCAGGCAGTTGCGCACCACCAAGTGGCACGGGCTGGGGTCTCTCCTGCCGGCTGCCAGGCAGCGCAGCTCCTGCAGGCTCTGGTGGAGCGTGTGTCCTCCAGGTGGTAGGCGCGCTCCACGGCCTGCGTGCTGGCTGCCACGCCAGTCGTCGCTCTCCGGCTTTGAGATGACGCGGAAGACCCAGGCTCCTCCGCCCTCGTTCTATACCCACATGAGCTCCTCGGTCAGCCCCCTCCACTGCCAGGACCGGCGCAGGAAGGAGCGCGAGAGGGGCTGGAGGGCCACGTCCAAGCGGCCGCAGGACAAGGCCATGGACAGGGAGGCGGAAGTGGCATCGCGCTGCGGCCGGAACTGCATGCTGACAGCGGCCTCGCACTCGGTAGGCGTGGGCGTGGTGGGCGTGGTGAGCGTGGTGAGGCGTGGTGGGCGTGGTGAGGTGTGGTGGGCGTGGTGTCTGGGCAGAGGCTCAGCCAAGTGTGATTGAGGCTAGATGGGAGCAGAAGGTTCCAGAAGTGGGTGGGGCCAGAGGTGAAAGGTGCCAGAGGTGAAAGGTTCCAGAAGCAAGCCGGGCGGAAGCGTAGTCCCAGAAACAGGCCCGGTGGAAGCGGAAGGGCCCATACGTGTTTGGAACCGGAAGTACATGAGTCAAGTAGGCGGAACAAAGTGGGTGGTGGTGGTGGTTGGGGGTGGTATTTGAGGGCGGGTTCAGGGGTCAAGGGTCACCAGTCAGTGGCACAAGCCCAGGATTCACTTAGCAATCTGGGCAACTCTGCTTTATCTATACCATAGTTTGAAAGGTTATGAACATAAGTGCAAAATTTTTTTATTGAATCACTTGGATGTTTTATTTAAGGACCTTTCTTGAATATTGTCCAAATGTGACCGATTCGTTAAGTGTAGTGGGTTTTGTGGTATATTTAGTATCATAAAGCTGTATTTGCACAGCAGTTCTGTGACTTGAGCACTTACGTGACTCCTCTGAGGAAGGAGTTGAGGTCAGGGACAGTCATTCAAGTGCTGAATTTCATCAGCAGCCCTGGACAACTTTGCACTGTCTTGCTTCTGTTGAATTTTACATCTTGCAATATTTCTAGCATCCAAGGGCTTACTCTTTACCTGTATAGTGCCCTTCTAGCACAAGCTGTTTTCATTTTGTAAACTTACTATCTTTCTTATAATTCTGAGAAGATGGATTGGAATTTTTTGAATTTATTCTCATAATACTGTCCCTAATACTGAATAAAATTTTGGGGAATCTTTTTATTTTTATATGATTTCAAGTTTACAATTTTCGAAATAGTGCAAAGGACTTTTACCCTGATTCACCAGTTGTTCACATTTGCTTTGTCTACCATGTTCTCTGTGTATATACATTTTCCTCTCAATCATTTGAAAGTCAGCTACACCTATCCTGTGCTTCCAACCCTAATTACTCTGTGTAATACTGAATACTTTTCTAAAAAATTGTTTTCTTTGAAAAAACAAGCCCTATAAATCTGGAACTGAAATTCTGTAAGGCTTAAAATAAAGAGTCAGTTCCAGTTTCAATCTGAAGTTCTTTTAAAATTTTGTTGTCCTTTTTATGTTTCTTTTGGATAGTCTTAGGGCATACCATTTTTATTTTTTACATATGAAGTTAATTTCCATTGCTTCCCTAGAACTGAACTGTAATTTTGGGAGGTTCACATTAGTGAAAATTCTGATAAAATATTTGAAAGGTTTAAGAATTAATACTACATGGTAATTGTAGGGGAAAAGAAACTGTATATCTCAAAATTATGTACCCTCTTTATGTCTTAGCAGGTATAACATATCGGATTGAGATGCCACCTTATTAGTAAATCAGGGTTTATTTATATAACATTTTAGAAATGTCACTTTACACCATTATATAGTTTTACTTCTGTGTTCCTAAGGCCTGGTACAGTGCCAAGCACATAATTGGTATCCGATAAATATTTGTTGAATGAATGTAATATGTATTCAGTATATTTTAAATGAATAATCACAGAACTAAGTATAACAATATGTGTTCTATATTCCTTTTCCTTCATTTTCTCTAAATAGGGCAGGAAAAAGAAAATTACTAACCACTAATTAAGTCCGTCCTCTTGGAGATTCAAAGAACTAAGTGACTGGTATATATAAAACCATGAGGACATTTGTACTCTGGAAATATGGTAGATGGTTTTAAATGGCAATCTTGTATATATACTTCCCTAACTCTCTTATGCCCTCCCCTTTTAGCAGCCAGTCTTTCTGAAAGAATATTCTTATCTTCATTTTGCCATCTCCCATTTGCTCCTTAACTAAAAGCTGGCATTTGGCTCTGTGCTCTTATCATTCCTTTCCTGTGAAGTCTAAAATCCTAATTTGAAATCCACATTTCAGTTCACAAGCTATTTCTTGTTTGACTTTTTTCTGCCTGATTTCTACTGACAACCTTTCCTTAAAAAAACAAACAAACAAATAAAAACAGCTCCATTATCTTGGTTCCTTATATTTTGGTTTCTTCTAGACCTCTTACTTTTGAGCTCTTCATTTATTCCTTAAATGTTATTTATCAGGCTTTTTCATTGTTATTCTTGTAATCACTATACCACTTCTCACCCTTCAGTAATTCCAGTTCAATGATTCCTAAGTCTTCATCTTTAACCCAAACTTCTCAATCTGTTTCCTTACTGCACCGCACTTGTTCCATAGTCACCAGTGTGTGTATCTTCAAACAATTGTTCTCCCCACAGCCTACTCTCCTGCCTATATTCCTTACTTTAACTTCAGAACCTTTGTTTCCTAGGTCTTCTCAGTTCATTCCTCTCCTCCTGTCTTAGTTCTAGATTATCGATTTTACTACCTCCACCTTGGTGATACATCACTGCTGTTGCATTTTCATTGCTCTTACTGAAAGGACTATACAAACCTGTCTCCTTATAACCTGTCTCCTCATTGCTTTACAATATTACTAGATTAGGCTCCTGTGAGCACTCTTGCATTGTTACTCTCTGTTTAACACCCCTTAGTGACTTCATGAACTCTCTGGAGAGAGCCAAAGTTCTTAGCTTGTTATACAAGGTCTTCTCCTTGTCTTCCCCACCCAAAGTTCTGATAAAGCAGACCTACAGTCCTTCAGATGCCCTATGTAGCCAACCCTCCACACCTTGGTGGGCTCTATATTCTTTATATCAAGTGCCCTCACCATTCTTTCCACCCAGAAAATTCCATGCATCCATGCAGGCTCAGAATCAGCACCTCTCTATGAAAATTCTCCTGCTCTATTCAAGGAGAATCCAACTTCCTTTTGTGTCACCACTGTAATTTCAACCTACCTCTATTGTATCATTTATTGTACTGTATTATTTTTGTTTTTTAAAGTCTACTTTATTGGAATATGAGCTCCACAAGGGCAGGAATAAAATCTGTGTTCATTTCAGCATCTCTATAGCATACTATCTCTATATAGCATATGAGCATTTAATAAATATTTGTGGAATAAATTCCTTTTAAAGTGACAACTTTATTTCAGTAGAAGTCATACCTTTACTTCCTTCACTTTACAGCAAGGATCAGTAGACCTCAGATTTGGAGACTTTTGGGAATCAAAAAAGCTGAAATTGTATTCAGTTATTAGATTATTAGAATGTCAAAGAAAAAAATAATCTCTTGGTATTTTCTTTCAGTACCTAACACATACCTGACAGCGAAATCTGAATACATGAAAAGTAAAAGAATATTGGATAGAAACAACATTCATCACATAAGCATCAGATACTAAGGACTGTTCTATGCATTTCACATGAAATAACTCACCTAATCCTTACAGGGATCCTACAAACAGGGATGTTACCTTCCTTCAAAAAACTAAAGACATTGAACTAAGGTGAGGATGTAAAAATGGTCCAACCATGTGAGCATCAAGTGGAAGAAACAGGATAGTACTGGCTGAGTCCAAATACACTACTCTGAGCCACTTCACTGTCTTGTAAGAAATCAATATTCGGTGGTCTGGGTCACTACATAATTCACTTTTACTGCTGTCAGCAATGGTTGGGTGTGCTCTGTAACTTTATTTAAGTCACATACTATAAAATATCAGTCAACTGGAAAGCTCAAAGTATGTAGCTAATTGAATTTTTTAATTAATATTTTAGTAGCCATTCCCTTGCCTTAGTAAATGGAGAATATAAAATGCAATCAAATCCTTATATTCAAATTTAGAATCTCCCAGGTTCTCAATGACATTTTTGAATATTAGTAATTATTGTTCCACTCATGGCTACAGGAAAACTGAAAAGTATACTAGGATATTAGACAAAAATGCAAAAAGGATGAAGTGCACTTAGAATAGATGATCCGGGAGGCTGTAGCTTCTGAAAAGTGTCATACACACAGGGAGCTGCTCAAAGAGCCCTGCTCATCTCAGACACGAGAAGACTTGGGATGCTGATTAACTTAATTATAACATATTAGTATTATTGGTCCGATGAGTGTTGTTCTTTTAGGCCTATGTATTCATTTGTTCATTCGCTTCCTGATTCATTTCCTTGCCTTTTCCTTCCTGTCCTGTTCTCATCCTGTCCACCACAGCAGCATTCTAATGTGCTTAGCACATATTATTCTCTTTATTTCCTCTTGAAAAAAACATAGCAGTATTCTTTTCCACGTGTATTTTAAATTCACGTAAAAGTTATTTTATCTACTATCTTGTTCTTTTTACTCAGCATTGTGCATTTGAGGCTTGTCCATGTTGCTCTGTGCAACAGCCCACTGTTGCTAATGTTGCATAGTTCTGCATGATGTTCATCCACCATATTTTACCTCTCCAGTCTCTGTGTCACAAGCCTTTGGACTAAAAAGTACCTGGAGTGAAGTGACATACCTTTTCCTGTCTCTTTTGGATCTTTCTTTGGGGGAATAAATGAAGTTCATTATCTTCAAGGTCTGTACCTACAGAGCCACCTGCAACTGATTTTTGTTGACTCACTAATGAATCCACAAAATCTAGCACAGAACATATTATATATTGCACAATGATGCATTTTATTTTGCCTCAAATTGTCAAATATCTAATATTTAATGAATGGATGAAAGAATGAATGAAAGGTTGCAGAATGAATAAATGTCCTAACCCAGAGAGCTGACATTTTAGGGACTGGAGATAGGAAATTAAAAAATAAATACTAGTGGAAATAGAAATGACAACACTAAGAGCACTCATGAAAAATGGCTCAGTAGAGGTGCCTAATACCCATATTGCCTATAAACGTAAGGAACCAAAACAAGTATTTGGACATGAATATTTCAAGGAGAATGTTGAAGTCCATTAGGGGGGTGCTAGAGAGCCTGTGAACCAGCAAAATAAGGATTTCTCCAGGAA